ACGCATCAATTTTTACCCTCTCTCACCCCCCACTAGGTCGGTCAGCATTTAATCTAAGAGAGAGATTCATCCCTACTCTTGTCGGAATTTTGATGAGGACGGAAATCAAATATCCTAATGACCTGCCTATTAGTCGTGACGTCATCAACAAATTTCGTCAGAGTTTCAAATTTCATCGGCTAGCTATTAATTTCAATAAATACGCGGCTTATCGCTTTCAAGTATATATAAGAGCGTGCGAAATTACATACATTATTTAATCCGTACGATACGGTTCAATTATAATTAATACATTTAATTTAAGTCAGTTCTAAATTTAAAACAAGTTTCAAATCGCCTTACATTTAATTACAATTAATTCGCATACGCGTACAGATAAATCGTAATTTTGAGTCGACTATAGGCGCGCCTTTAGTAATATATCTATCTCGCTCTCTCTTCCCCTTAATTAGTCTATCTCACTCGCACTCCCGCTTAGTCTACCACGCTGCCGCTCTATCTAGCTAAGCGCTCTAAAATGGCCGCCTACTCTTTAACGCGTGCACCTCGTGTCTCGGTGCCGGTAATCGTAGCGCCTCCTGGAGCGCTCCGTTTTTCGGTCGTGTGCGGTTTCGGAGTGTTGTGTGTGAGTGTCGGCAGTAGTTCATATCAAGTGTGTGTGTGGCGTTCAGGGTGTCGTCGATGGTGCGCAGCAGCCTGACTCAGCTGATTGCCGGCTGCCGCTTCATCGGCGATTTTCTGTTCGCCCCAGGAATGTCAGCGTGCTCCGGGTGTCAGTGTCAGTGTCTGGGAGTGTAACGGGTCGGTACGTGTCGTTACGTGCATCTCCGCTGCACTTTTCAGTCAAGTTTTCTTGTTTTTCTTCCCCGCCGGCAACACGTGGTCAGGAGTGTGTGCATGTGTTCTCTCTCTCGTGCGCTCTCTTTTTTTTTATCCGTCGGATCGCGACAGCTCGTCTGTTTTCCTTGTTTATTTAGTTGTGGTTGGCATGTAAGGGAAAATATGATTTTCGCATTAGGCGCGTTTTATTTACGTATTTTCAGCTGGCTACGGGGCGGCAAGGGACAGGGATGGCCTTTTCTGAGGTGTTGCAAATAGCGCAACACTCTCTGAAAAGGCCTTGTAATGCACCGCATTACAAATGGAAAAGCTGAATTGTAACATAAGGATCCCGTCTTTCTTATAGAACTAACCATATGTCTAAGGATGTGTATGTTAAATGTCATTTTCTCTTTACCATAATATTTCTCATAATCAACTTCAAATCTTAAAAGGTCATCATCACATTTTTCAAGTTCTCTCTCAGTTTGCGCAGGTTTTAGTGCAGTGAAAGCACTATTTACTAGTAAGCTGTAGTGCTTTAAAGCTTCTTCAGGCAAAACATTATGTAAGCATGGTAAACTAAAATACAAAAGCCACGATTTGATTTCAGAGGCCTTAGGTTTAGCAGATCCTTTGATTATACCACTTCTCGGCAGTCTGTGAATTTCTTGAATAAGCGTTATGTGCAAAAACCTTTGTTCAATAAAATCTACATGTTTCTTGCTTAATTGAAATAGCGAATCGCTATTTTTCCACTCATTCCAAATTTGAAGAGCACTTCCAAGGCATAACGCATGTAAATACTCATACGGAAAAGACCATACCATATCAAAATGAGGTAATTGTGTCATAACAGATGCACCTTTCACTCCGTTAGTTACTTTGCCTGATTCAGAAACTGATAGGACGTCTTTTTCGTGACTATCGTTAGTTCTTTCGATCTCAGTTTGATTTACAGGATAACGTACACCACGTACGCTAGTAATGTACTCTCCAAGCTGATATCCCCAGCTACAACCGTAATAACCATTAAATTGAATTCTGTTCTGAACGATAGGATGACAAACGGAGTCTACGGGACATGCGTGGGTACAAAATTTAAACAAGATTTCGTTTCCTTTATACGATATTGCTATGCCCTCAGTATACAACTCATTCATTTGATTGACATACACTTCAGAAAGATATATATCAAGTAAATTACTGCGTGGTTCCGTTTCTGTCAATAGCAGACCACTTTGTAATACATTTCGAAATCGGAGTTTTGGAGATAAATCATTTAATATAATTTGTACAGGCCAAAATCCTCTTTTACCGCTCTTAGTTAGTGGTGCTCCATCTGTATTCATATTAACGGTTAGCATAATCTCAAAATCACTTGAATCAGCTATTATATTTGTATGAATGGACCCAGCATTTACACCTTTGGGCCAATGGCTATTGGGATTTCTAGTTTGTACATTACTTAAGATATCATCTATTATAACAGGATCAGTTAATAATAGTCGTATTTGATATTTTAGGTCTACGCGTAAAAAGTAATTTGATGACCTTGATGTTATTTTAATTTTGGCTCTGCAATTGTGACAAACGATTTCTTTGTTTCTACATTTTTCACTAGCTTTAACAGAATAAAGTTTCACAGCCGTACATTTACTGCAGTAAAAATTGTAAGTAACATGTTCATCTTGCGATGAGAAACATTTGTTCATCATGTGTTTGGAGAGATTTAGATCATCAAACTTTTTACCAGCAAGAACTTTTGTGAATTTACCTAATTTTATTTTTCCTACATCTGATAGTTTTAAATCTAGTGATAGTGCCGTTATCATTGTAATTACATCGCGTACTTTTAAATTGGATTCATAAAACATAGTTTGATCAAAAACGTCTATTGTCTGATTTGTAAAAATGTCATCATCACTTTCACTTTCGTCCATTTCAGACTGAATTTCATCATTATATAAAGAGTAATTCTGAAAACTACAATTCTCGTCGCCGTCTTCGTCTTCAGAAGGAGCTGCTACATACTCGTCAGGTCGGGGACTATTTCTGTTTGTTGAAAGTTGTTCTTCAGTAACCTGGTTAATTTCATCAGCGTTCTTTGCATAAATACGACTACTTTCTTCTTGAGTAAGATGATCATGTTCTGACGAAGAGCTTGAAGATTTTTTAGGACTTTGTAGTGTTGAAGCTGTTGCCTTGAATCCTATCACAGCAATTTATAAAGGCATCATTAAGTAATAATACCATACTTATGAAAGTAAATCGACGCTTATTCGACGATATTTACGCTTATATAATATGATTGAAATCTATTAAAAGCAGTTAAAAAGTATTGAAAGATTTTAAGAATTGTCGTGAGCTATTAAAAATTATAAAAAGTTCATTATTATAAACGTTTTTTGATAAGCCTAAGATGAATGATTTAGGATTCATGGATTGATAGAAAAGTAAAGTACCAGATATTAATTGACCGGTCATAGAGAAGTATGAGCATTGATTCCGTGTGCTCCAACCCGGAATAATTAAGGTGCTGCTATAATTGCATCGTGTTGTTCTCAATGGATATTTACTAGAATCTCTAAATGTCGAGAATAATATTTATTAAATAAATCTTAACGTTAAGTAATTCTTATAATGTTGAGAAACAAATGTATTTTTAGAAGTTTTTTCATACTTGAACTGAATTTTTGGCTTATTATAAACAATAATCACGAATCTAATATATATATATATATTATTTTTCCCATTTTTAAACCATGTAAGCAGGCTGAAATTATAATAAAATATACGCTATGTATATTATTCTCTAGGCTTAGGAGAGTATATGCAAAAAAACACTGCTTTATTTTTTCTCCCAGGACACCTTCAAAGTATAAACATTTTAATATTTATTTCGAAACTAGAGATAACACGCGCGCTCGACCTCATTCGTTTCATTTAATGTTCATTAATATTTATATATAAGTACATTTTCGACAAATTATTAATTTATGTATAATTGAATACAACAAAATTACTTTACAATAATTTATTAAAATAATTTTTCGTTTAATATTTTTATTGTCTTGTCTCTTTTACTTTATTTATTCAAAGCTAAACTTTCGTATGGAGCAGGAAAAGATTCTATAATAATTTTTATCTAAATATCGCTCGCTTTTCTTCTTGAAATTTAGCACAAAACTTACTGAAATTCCAGTTTTTTTATTATTAATTATCGATTAAATAATTCGCAATGATTTGTTTTTAAATAAGAAATTGAGAGAAACTGAAATTAATTCATCAGTAATACATATCAAATTAAATGAATGTTTGATTCTTGAAACAAATTCAATTTTGACAAAATGCACATGATTGAATTTGTAAAAAAAATATGTAAAAACGTAATATGATTTACTTTTGCTTTCTGCTATTCGAAGCTCCCATCTCTTTCGAGTTTTACGGCAGACACCACTTTGTTTAAGACCCATTTGCATAGGCAAATTGTACCTCTTTGGTTGTACTTGCTCTTCATCACTACTATTACTGTTTGAACTCTCCATCGTATTTTTGATGTACCTCAATATATGAACTAGGAGAAAAGTGGCCGTTGGCTAGCGCAGAGGTCGTGAAAGCCGGTCGAGCGTAAATGTGCGAAGTTTTCTCTTGATATATTGACTTGGTGAAAATAAATTGCATTTTATATTTAACTAACTGTGAATTTATTAGTACTACTATATATAAGGCTGTCTTATTAACTAGAAAATTTATTTAAGACTAGTTGTGAAAAGAAAAAAGATATTTGTTGTGAAAAGAAAGCATATATATATAAATTGGCATTTTCTAAAAATTGAATATATTATTTTTAAGCTAAAACATTATTAACAAAATGCAGTATATATATAACCTCTAAAATCTTTTTTCTCTTATTATATAATTCGTTTATGATATAAGTATACCTTCAATAAAAATCTGAAATTTTATTTGCTAATTTTTTCCATAATTGCAACTATAATACTAGGGTAGGAAGCGCGAGTAGCCAATCACGTGAGAGTGTGAGAGAGACAGCATCTATAGCCTTGTTCGTGCTATCTCTCTCTAATTTGGCCGATGATGCGTGCTGATCGAGCCCGTGAAGCAGCTGTCGTATAGGTAGTATATGCTCGAAGCATTCGAAGGCTAGTGGCCACGTTTCGGCGCATGCGCACGCGCATAGTAGCTCTGAATTTCTGGCTTCCGGAATATACTAGATTCACATCTTTATATTCTGATCCACGTGCACCGCTGGATCGTGCTCTAGCTTTATTTGTCTTAAGTGGCTTTTATAAAGAATGAAGTGATTGCGTTTTTCGCATAAAGTATTTATTTAGTTCGGCGTGGTGAAAACGCGTTATATATATTAAAAGAGGCAGCTCCGCTACTTTACTATTAGTAAAATTTCATTGCTGCGTGTGGTGCTATAATTTTACAAAAGTAAATTCAAAGTGTCTCTTTATCTCCGAAATTATTTGCAAAAGCAATATGGCAGATAGTAAGGAGAGTAATAGGAATATTAAGCTAGCTTACATAAAATATTTGGATGGTGTCAATAGAGGTGTAATGGATATAATTAAAACAGATCAAATCCTTGGCCGTTATACTTCTGATTCATCATGCATTTTTGACAAAACTAAGAGATATAAATTGAAAGATCCTACTAAACTACCAGAGAATTCACCCAGGATTCAACTTTTGTGTATAGCTGGTGAGTTTAAGACATCATTTTTTTCTACTGAAAACTTTATAAACATTTATCAGCTTGTTCAATAATCTGAATATTGTTTTCCTATAGAAAATAAAGATGACTTGAAGAAACAGATTGATACTATAAGGATTCCATCGTGTAAGAATTTAGTCTCAGCATCGGAGGAAAGTGATACCCAAGAAACAGCTCGGTCAATTGCATCTACCAGTTCTCAAAAGTCGAGTACTAATATGTTTAAGGTATTTAAATCAAAACTATGTACAATAAGTAGTTTTTATTTAAGTGAGTGTGCAGGCACATACGACAAAAACCTATTGTGAATTATAATTTGATAATACATTTTGAATATGATTAGACCAGTATACTCTGCTATAAAAATAATATAAGAATACTATAAAAAAAATATTTCTACTCGTTAAAAAATTTTTCAAAACTTAATCCCATTTCTACTGAAATGTTGTTTTGGTAATTTTGCATGTAATTTTTGTTGTTTAACTCTACAATCTCTACATTCTACTTCTATATTTTTCAGTCATTTTCATTCTTTTACATGTATTCTAATTTTTATACGTACTTTCATGAAATAGCTGAAACAATCATCAGAATATTCAAAAATCTTAAAAGCCAGGCAAGAAGAGAAGGAATTACAAAAGAGAAAATTACAGGTATACACACACACATATATATGTCTTACATCAGCTCTATTAAATTTGTTATATTTGTCAATATTAATATAACTAACCTCTTTAATAATCATTTATTATTTATAAAAATTGCAGGGTCAAAGTGATAAACGAAAAACCAAATCAGTGAAACTGAGTGATCACCAGACTGCGTCTTCTCAATTTCAAGGTAACTTGAATGATTCTTTTCCAGCAGAAGACCATCAAGGAAAAGAAACTCATGATGTCACTGATGAACCAATTTTGGAACAGAAGGTAAATATTATAATATTTTTAATATAGAAGTATTAATAATCATAAGAGTTTATTAAATGATTCATGCGTATAATGTTAGATAATGAATTATTTATCTTTAATAATTACCTGCCTATTCCAAGTTTTTGCTACACACACACACAAGTATAAGCTAACATACGTATATCCTATATATTTATAAAAAATTGTAGGATTTGAATCAAGAAAAAAACGAAACGGCCATGATATTGAGTCGCCAGCCTTCTTCTTTTGCTCAAGTTGAAAACAAAACTGATTCCTTCTCAGGAGGAGATCATGAAAAAGATAAAATACGTTTTGAAGATATAAATACCCTATTAGGAAGCGTTGAAAAGAAGGTAAACTTTATAATATTTCTAATTCCATTGAAATAGAGTTATTAAATATGAATTAAATATACCTAGTATGTATTAAAATGTATATTTATTAATGTACTTTTATCATTTTTTAAAATTGTTTGTATTTTTAAAATGTTCTGTAAACACGTTATGTACGCGTAAGCAAATTCATTTATATGTATATTAAATTAAAACAACATTTATAAAAACAGGTTGAGCCCCATGAACCTTTTTTAGATGAAAAAGAAAGTCATGAAAATGTAGGTACTAACGAGGATGATGAAAAGCATGAATTGACTGGTGAATCAAGCACTTTAGTAAAGAAGGCATGTATCAGCGCAAGAATATTTTTAATTGAATTTAAAATACATAAATATAGACAGTATATATTGAAATCTAAATATTGATTTAGGATAATCATCCAGAAAGTGGTGGACGCAAACCGAGAATTATCGACGTAAGTTCCAATGAATATAGATATATTCCTATAATTTCTAATAGCTTTTAAAACTTTTTAAGTACTTTTGATAGATCTTAATCATATTTTATATGCAATGACTTCAGATTCTATATGAAACAATAACAATATTTTTTAATCCATAGAATCGTTGCCTTGACTCACTCAAACAAAATAACTTATTGAAAAAAAAAGAAAAACAGATTTCTGAATTAAAACAGGAACTTGGAAATGTAGATCGTAAGTATCGGAATTTAAAAAATGACTACAAAGAAGTTAAACAGGAAAACAAAGAGTTGAGAGATAGAAACCTTAAACTACAAGATAACATTAGTCATGATATTATGAAGCTTGGAGGTAATGTATAAAATACGAATAACAATTTAAAATGCTTGCTTGCTTCTTGTGTCCCGTTATATTACATTAAAATTAGTCGTCATATAATACTAGGATAAGTATTAAAAACTAATGATGCCAAAATTTCAGTTGAAGGCCTTTTGCAAATACTGGAATTTCCAGTCTGTTCGCTTGATACAGCAATTTTGTAAGACTTATACCATTTTATATTGAGTGATAGCTGATGATTTATGTTTTCTGATTAGTAGTAGTTGCAAGTGTTTGTGTCCTTTTAGTTAAATTAAATGTGATTAATTTAGATATGTGTATTTGTGTGTGCTACATACTCGTTTTTCTAGTAACATGAACAGTTATTAATTATCTTAATAATTTTCTAGTATTGGTGGACCAACAGAATAAAATTTGTGCTTCCAGCAGTAATATTGTTGACCCAAAACTTAAAAGTGTACCCATTGGATTTATTGAACAGGATGGTAGTGTGAGTATAATTATTCCACCAAATTTTCCTCGTATACACTGTTGCTCCATTATTTTTAATTAATATCATAAATTTGTACAGGTTCATATGGGTCAAAATAAATATTTGCCCGCCAGTATTAATGATACTGTCGTATCATCATTGAGTCCTGCAACTTTCGTAGGAAACCTCCTAGTTGCAGTATTTGGGCCCACTACTTTAATGAAAAGTAGTCTCACAGGTAGAGTCAGCAACAGAAGAATTGGCAAAATAAAGAAAAATAAAGAACAAGATAAAGAAAATGAAAATGAGCACGGCGAAAATGACTTGCCCCAAGCTGAAAAATTAGAAAAGTTGGATCCTAAACAACTGCTGGCTTGTCAAGGTAGATTTGAATCAATGATATTTGCAAAATACATGTTACAATTACTTAACAATATCAATTAAAATAATACAATTGTGATTTATTTCTTGTTTCAGATTATTTTGGCTATTGGTTAGAAATATATTATGAACCAAAATTGACCAAAGCCCAAACGAAGAAATATGATAGAACCATAGAAATAGCCTGTTTTCGCGAATATGCAACAAAGAAAATAGCATACATGAAAAAGCCAAAAAGGGCAAAGATAAATAAGAAAAACTTAAGGAAGTCTGAAGATTTTGAAGAACAGGAACCAACGAATAACGAAACCGGCGGAACCGACCCATTACAACTGAATTCTGACATTGAAACAGAATTAAACTCAGAAAATATATTTGATGAGTCTTGGTTGGAATCTTCAAGTGATATTGAGGATTAGAATAATTAGTAACATCTGATTATTCTAATAATCTTTATTCTTTATTTATTAAGTCGTTTGAATTTAGAAATGTTAATAATTTATTCACTATAGTGTACATCATTATTTATATAATTTATATATGCTATTGAGTTACCCTTAACTTATTTATTGAAGTATTTATTGAAAAACATTACGTATAACAGATAATACTTACATTCTACTTGCATACTTACATTATAAGTATTTATTTTATAATTGTAATTGTTTCTACTTTGTTCAAATTAAAATAATTTGATAATAAAAAGGAATCCATTTATTTCCGAATTGAAATTTATTACAAATGATTAATTCCTATAAAAAAATATTTATGTAAAAACAGTATTGAAAGCGATTCAATATAATTATATTGAATTGCTTTGAATACTGCAATGAATGTGTTTTAATAAATAATTAATTTTTAATTTGAATTTATTAAAAGAGATTCATTTCTTTTAAAAATATGCCTGCACATACATGTAGAATATTCAAAGTGATTCGATATCAACTACTCGAATTTTTTTTAAGGGATTGAATGTCATTAAAAGCAATTCCTGTACGTATGAATATCCATATTAAAAGCAATTCAATAATTTATTTAAATATATTCAAAATTTTTTAAATTAATTAAAAATTATCAATATATTACTTATTTTCTATTAAAAAGAATTAAAATCCATTGCGTACATGCTAGTTTTAATATAAAAAATGATTCACTGTCCACCAAATACTAAAAAGCATCCAAGTTTATTTAAAAAAATTAATTTAATCATGATAAATTATATTGAATATTATTTAAATATCGTTCAGAAATTCAAATCATTTTTAATCGTGAATCTGTATTTCAAAATATGCGATTAAAATAAATTTAACGTAACGATAATTATTCATTGGATTTCATTGAATAAAATTCATTTTATGTAAAGATTTGAGATTGAAAGCTATTGAACATTATTGAATTTAATAATCTTTAATCTTAATTAATTCTATCGATTCGAATCATTTTGAATTATTTTGCTTCCGTGGCTTATTTTTTTCAATTGGCTTATGTGGGATACAAATTCACGATTAAAAGTAATTAGTTTTTTTTAATAACTTTTAATAGAACATTTTTAGCAGGGGACCATCAAGACTTCCTTTCCAAAAGTACTGAGAAGTATGTTACCGACAAACATGCTCGGGCTTATAGAATCGGATATTAAATTTGCATGCGTGATTTCATCCATGTATTCCCCAAGCCCCAAGTGTATCTGTAAAAAATATGTAATTCCCATCCTACAGATCTCATCTTAATAAGTATTTTAAATCTCGTGTTTATTAATATATACATACGCCTTTGCCCTTGACAAAATATCCAACTGGATAATCATTGAGTAGAGGATCAATGCTTTTACCAGAACTTTCAATTTTACTTTTCTGTTCAAAGAGGACTGAAATAAAAATACAAGATATATTACGACATGAAAATACTTCTAATTCAGTTATATTAAAAGAAAAATACACACTTTTGTACATAATGATTTGTGAGAATAATGCTATATATCATAACAGCAAAACCAAATCGTTTAATTGGAAACGTAATGTTACTATGTAATGTTATATGTAATACAAATATATACTTTCTACAGTTGAAAACAATTAATGTGAATAAAATATATCTTCTTCCGCGCCGATAATCACATCGTATTATTTTCAGCTTGTGTAATAAGCTGACTCTCAGCGCATCGATCACCGGGTCGGAAAAAAATTTACTTGCAGTTTTACTGCGCACTATATTATTTTACTTTTGTTTTATACTATTTCTGTGAAAAGCAGGTGAAAAGCATCTTTTTGTGAATGAGATGAAGAAGTAGAAGCTAGATCCCATTTATTTACCTCTCTAGCAAAATGAAAAATTGTAGAATTGATTCAAACTTTGCACATATACAGAGTAAATATGATTATGAATGACTGTGCAAAATTTTAAATCAATTCGCCGCACCGTTTTCAAGTTATTGTTGATCACAGTTGAACATTTTTATACGCGAGCAATGGTAGTGGCCGATCAGAACCTACGGTCTTTTAGTATAAATATCTAACTAATATGAAGATCAAGTTGCAAAATTAAATATAGCTAAATCAAACTATGTATATATATAGATAAGTAACAATATATACTTTTTTTTCACCGCGTAATTAATTCACAACCTTTACTATAAACTTGCAAATTGATGGTTTTTTATAGTATATGCATCTAGAATAACTATTTCACTATTGATACTTTTTAATATCTTTTAATAAATTTTAATAAAGTTTTATACTTTTTAACGATTAAAATTTATATTCAATCGTCACCAGTATACAAGTAATCGCAATAGAATATACTTAGTAATGTTTGAAGAAAACTCCATAATAATACAATCTACATTAAAAAAATGAAAAAATAGTATTGGAGAAAAAAACGAAACCAAAATTACAAATCTAAAAATAAAACGAGAAATTATAAGGCAATACATGATACTTCAAAGTTGTTGAAGTCGATTCATGATAGTTTTTAATAATTAAGAGTTACTATATGGCAATGAATGAATTATTATTGAAAAGGGAATAAAAGTTCACACCAAACCCATGCGATCGTAGCTAAAATTACCATAACCAAAAATAAATGTAATAATCGTCAGCTAATTAACAAAGGGATAAATCTTACTGAATTCGCCAAAAAAAACACCATGGTGGAACATCCAGTTCACAAAGACCTGACGCTGAAATTTTTTCATTATTATTTTCAGGTAATAGTCCATACAAGTTACTATCTATAGTCAGTAATTTTATAAAGTACTACCAAAGTACTTATAACAAGTTTTGACGAAAATAATAGCAATATTTAATTTATATGAAAATAAGTTTTGCAATAAAAATGTTTGTCTTTGAAATTTACGTACCTTTCATTTCGTTGACATCATGGCAAACATTGTCAATTAATTTCAAATGTGCAGTATGCAAACCCTCGTAATTGGCATTCAATTGCTTCTGTTCTTCTTTCAAATTTTTGTATTTTTTTTCTAAAGATTTGTTCTCTTTTTTCAATTTAGCCATTTGTTTATCTTTTAGTTTTAATACGTCATTAGGTATCACAACCTGACAATTCTATACAACAAAAATATTTTCATTATAACCAATGAAAAATTATCGAATACAAATTGATCATTGCTTGTTGGATATCAAAGAATATGTTGAATTTTTGGAACTTACTTTCATAGTGGGTTTTGATTGTGGACATATCTGTTTGACGGTAATCTAATAAATGTGATTTTAAACTTTTATTATCTTTAAATAAGGAATAATATTAATTAGGAAAAAAGTATTGATTACCGGCACATTTTCTTCGTGTTCATTACTTTTGTTCCGAGCAGTTATGGAAATCATAGATTCAGGTCTCTCTACTAAAGAAGAATTTCTCTTTGCCCTTTTGACTTCATTATCAGTTTCGGAAAGCTCGCTGCTTCCATCTACTTGAGTATTTGAACTCAAAAGAATTACTTTCGGAGGCATAATCTCATTATCATCATATCCGTCGTCAGAATCACTCTGCAGTTTTTTAAAATATATGTATACATGATTTACATGTGCGAATATAATATGTGGATTGTTGTAACCGTTTTCTAACTGAAAGCAGCGCACGCTTTAACATTATTTAAAGACATAATTTTGAATAACTTTTAATTACGCTTCAATCATTTTTAATCTTTCCAATATTTTTTAATAACATTCAGTACTTCTCAATACATTCCAATAAATCCTAATACTTATGGTCATTATAAATTACCGAAAACACTTGTTATTTATTTAATTTAATATATTGTAGAAATTTAAAAAAGATAAACATATACGTATGATACTTCATCGTTAAGTACTGAGCGTAGCTGATATTCAGCACAAATTGGTTTTTGACTAACCTATCTCTATTTTTAAGGTTTGCACCCCCTAGACATTGAGGGTAAGTAGACAGCAAATTTTAGGGTTGAAAGTAGTTTTAGGGATTGTATTGCTCTTAAGTACGAGATCATAGTAGTATAGACTTTTCCGGGTTATTTTTTTATTAAACCAGTAAAAAAAAATTAATAAAGAAAAAATGACTGAATTAATATATATATAGAATATATATAGCCAGAGGATAGCCATCATCGGAGTAGGATTTTTTTTGTAATTTTTCAAGAGGAATCGAACCGTAGACTCAGAATAGAAAAAAAAACTGTCAAAACATTCAATATACAGGGTGTTCCAGACCACCCGTACACCCCCTCTAGAATCCAAAATAATGGATTAATCAAAAACTGCTTCAGACAAAAGTTGCTGGGCTTCGAGGGGGACATATCCGTACGACCTTGGCTTTGACCTTGGAGGTCATGTTCAAGGTCATTTCAAGGTCAACTTTGTTTTTTTAAATAGGAACCCCCATTTTTGACTCCGGATTCTGAAAGAGCGCGAAATTTTACGTCCAAAACGGTATTTTTAAATTTTTTTTCATGGCCTTGAGAAGGTCGATTTAAGGTCAAATGCTTGAAAAACTGCCTAAAAGCGTTTTTTTAATTTTCAAGATATCGAAAAATGACCTCTACAAAATTTGTTCAGAATAGAGTGGGCCACCCAATGCACCAAAAACCTTTGACCTTTAACCTCATTTTGAAGGTCATTTCAAGGTCGAAGTGTTTTTTGTAATGGAAACCCCTCTTTTTGACCCCGGATTCGCACATAGCGCGAAATCCGACGTTTGGATAAGGTATTATGTTGAGTTTCCCGCTCTTTCCGAATCCGGGGTCAAAAATGGGGGTTCCTATTTAAAAAAACAAAGTTGACCTTGAAATGACCTTGAAATGACCTCCAAGGTCAAAGCCAAGGTCGTACGGATATGTCCCCCTCGAAGCCCAGCAACTTTTGTCTGAAGCAGTTTTTGATTAATCCATTATTTTGGATTCTAGAGGGGGTGTACGGGTGGTCTGGAACACCCTGTATGTATATACATTATTTCTAGCTATATATATAATATATATATTAAAAAATTTTAATGTAATCTTTGAAGGAAATGAAACAACTTTGCCTTCTATACTTTTTGCCTAAAAGCACTCCTTCATGGG